ATCAATAAAACTATGGCAATAAAATAAAATAAAATATAAAAACAAAAACAAAAAAAAAAAGAATGAAACTATCAGCGGCCTGTCCATTAGCTCAGTTCTTTAAGTGGCTTCTTCAACAAAGCATTCAGGCTCAGGTTGCAGTGGTTCGATCCCCACAACTCAGGCCAGCTAAACCTGCCCTGAAGGCATTCGGAGCAAAATAAAAAAAAAATCCTTCTGGCTTAAAAAAGAATGAAACTATCATAAAAAGTAAAGCCATATATATATGCTGAAAATAAAAGACTCAAGTCAACAACCTCTGACATTGCCAGTCCTATGGATAACCCACTACTATTATGGACTACTGGACTATATTGGAATATTTTACTGAATTCATGCACCTATAATTTTAAATGGCAATGGAATACCCATCTCTGACAAAACTAAACAAAAAAAGGAGATACAAATGAAGGACCATTTTGTATCTGTATGTTCAAAATAGTATAGATATACAGCTATTTTCTCTTAATTCAATGAGAAGTAAGATTTGTACTAATAGTATTTGGACAGGATATCATGTCTGCATTTTGTACTATGAATAATCAATACGAAGACAACAGTATGCAATGTATTAATTATTGAAACTGTCCTACTAATTGGTTTTGAAACTGTCTTGTTGCTATTTGTTTCTCAATAAAATTAATAAAAAAAAGAATGAAACTATCTGAGTACTTTGTCAGTCAGGGATATTGGTCATAGAACATTATGAATACAATGAATGGCATTCAGCTGTACACTGCAAAATGTTAAAATGGCAGGCTCTACAAAAAAATTTTAAATGTTTTACTGTAGTTTATAAAAGAATTAATTTTTAAAGTTTTAGTAGAATATTTTATATAAATTTCTGTGGTTCTTTATAAAATGGCTTATCTTTCGCACCTTAAAAACCATGTCATGTGCCTTGTATGGTCTTTCCACAAAGCCTGCCAGTTAAATTCACATTTTAAACTTTCTATAGGACAAATACTTTTACTAGTTACTTGAAACATTAAAGTGCATATATGAAAGTCATAATCCCCTTTTCAGAAATATGACTGTAAAATTGTTATCTTTATAAGTGTCTATGCTTTCAGCTGTTTTCTACACTATAAGCCACTTTTTGTGTCCCCTTATCTGTGTCCTTTTTAAAAATTATTAATTAATTAACTTATTTATTTAATTTTTTGCAGTACCTGGGATTGAACACAGGATCCTGCACTTGCCAGGCAAGTGCTTATTCTACTGAGCTCTCTCCCTGGCCCTGTGACTCTGAATCCCATGTGTATCCAAATTCTTTCAAGAACTCTCTTGAAGAAACCAAAGTGTGAAAATCGTAGGGGACAATGTGTGTAGGTTTTTGAAGACTAAGACAAATACATTTTGTTTCTTTGGGTATCATCATGCTATATCTTTCTCCAGTGGATAAAAATGAAGTACTTTAATCGTTTTTTATTTCTAAACGCATACTTTTTAAAAATCAGTGCTTTGTTTTTGCTGTTGTTTAAATAGTACTAGGTTTCCTTTTGATATTTTTCTATAGGAAATGTTCAAAAATGGTATAAATAAATAACAACGCATTTCACCAAAATTTGAGTCAATGTAGCAGTCATTTCTGTTATAAGATAAATCAGGAAAGACTGAGGTGCAAGTTAAGCAACTGCCTGTGACCACACAACATCTGGACACAATGGCATTTTGGTTTTGCCACTCACTTCAGCTGTTCATTAAAGAAAGCCAAGAAATGTTGGAAGCCCAACCTGCCCTTGTACCTGTTAGGCATAAGGAAGCAGCCAATATAATTTAAATAGTTTTCATCCCTAAAGTTCTTAGTTATGCATTGATTGAGGCAATTAAGTGGTATCAGTTACTGGAAGGAGAACAAAACAAATGAAATAAAGTGTCTAGTACTTAAATTATCCAGAAAATGAATGAAAGAGGAAATAACAGAAGTATTACAAAGAACTTGCTGAAGTTATTTGGTTATAAATTATTAGAATGACTAAGAAGGTAGTCAAAAATTTTGATGACATTTATCAGATTTAAACATGCCATCATCATTCAGTGATCATGACTGTCCAGTTGTTTAGATTATTGGGATTTTATTTTAGGTTTAAAATTTGAGCATATTTCATTTGCGATAATCACATGAATTTCATAGCATGTTTCTCAAATTATAAGTACAATTTAAATACAACCAGGTGATTTAAAAATATTCTTCCCCATAAAAACAAAAATATAATTTTAGAAAGGAATTAAATTAGAATATTGGAGTTTATATGGGGACAAGAAAATCTACCTTACATATGAATGCATAAACCATAGCTATTGTATGTACATTTTACACGAAGCATTCTATAATTCTCAGTATTTCTATAGTCATACACTTGTCCAATAAAATTCTCTCCTTAAACTTATTCTTATCCATAAATTGTTTTTAAGATGTCTTTCTGAGTCTCATTAATAAAAAAATATCAGTTTAACAATAATCTACAACCATTGGATCAACGTAAAAACAAAAGTATTAAACTAAAAGTACCAATTGAGTTCTCAATAGATCAGGTTCTTCAACTGAGATCCACAAGAAATACAGGTGACCAAGTCTTCTCTCTGTAGCCTCCAGGGTTAACTTTATAGTGTCTTGTGGAGCACAAATGTCTTTTGAATCTTGACTTGTATGCTGTCTTATCACAACTGGCCAATATATATTTTTCCATTCATTAAATTTTTCCCCAATTTGTTTTAAAGAATTCTTCCCCTCATTTGTACCAAACTGCAACTATAAAACAGTTTCTTATTTATTATTTTAAGAGGGTTTTTTTTTTTTTCTTTTTAAGCTTCCAAGTAACAGTCATTCAAATGGCCTCCTTCTTCTATAAAGTTCTGGCATTATACATTTTGAACAGGTTTGTATGATAGTGATGTGCCTAATTGTAGAATTTCCTATATTCTATCCAACTACTGAAAGTAAATTGCTTTCTTTGTCATGCAACAATAAGTCAACTTATTGTTAGAATTGTTCCTTTAATTTCATAAATGAGAGATATATTCTACATATGGTTATCTAATAAGTAATCATTTTACATTAAGATTATAGAGTAATAAACCCCATATTAGCACTGAAAAAAGTTTTAAAATGTAATCTGGATTGAACAACACATTTTACTGTGTTATTATTTGTGAGAAATCATTAACTGGTATCCATTTTATAATAGTGTCAGCCATTTTCTTAACTTTCTATTCCCCTGCTGAGTTAAGTTTCTGCTCCTTCCCACCTTGCCCATTCCCTGTGAATCACGTGCTATGCCCCAGGGGTGGGACCTTCCTCATTGCCTAGATACCTGCTGACCTCAAGAGCCGAGACTTCCTCATTCCTACACTCCCTTTGTATACCCAGCACCTCCCCTGAATAAAGGAGACTTGATCAGAATCCTGTCTTGTCTCCATTCTTTGTGTCTCCTGTCCCTTTTCATCCCCACTCCCCCTCTAGGGCCCTCACTGACTAACCTATGGGTCAGGACAATTATTGTTCTTATCACATCTTGTGTTTTCCTCTCATTAAATAGAACTCACCAGAGATAAAGGAGGATTTAAATATACCAAAACTTAGTGTGATTACCACATGATTTAATGAAGCAGAAAAACATGAATGTTGCAAGCTCGTAGAAGTATGTATGTACGTTAAGGAGAGATGATCTCAATGGTAAATAGTAACATTACTTAAATTCTGATTTTAGTTCCTGAATACAACTCTTTCTCCATGAATAAATCAATTAGCATTTTTGCTACATGGCATCTTCAAATGTAGAGAGGGCTATAACAGCTTTTTTTTTTTTTCCCAGTCCACGACCTTTGTTCATGTCCCAATCCTAAGCATCTGTGTGAATAGTTTGTCTAATAGAGTAACTTGGCATGTGGAATGAAGAGAAGGAGTTTGAGATGGGGACATTATTCTGGGTTATCTTGGTAAAATATAAACATACTCACAGGTATCCTTATGAAATGACAGAAAAAGAAGCTGTAGCAACCACACAGATAAGTCTGACTTGGGAAAGGGTGAGTGAGGAGCCGGGGAAAGCTGGCAGCCTCTGGAAGGAACAGCAGCACGATCCCTTTGGGTCCTGCCACAGGAACCAGGACTGTGGGCATTGGAGTTTCAACCCCTTATGGTTCATTCTGGAATTCCACTCTCCAAAGCAATAAGAGGATTCACGCATGCTGCTCCTACCTGTGGTAGCATGTTTCAGAACCTACAGGAAATTATATCTCTAAAATCCTCCATGATCTGAGAAAAAGTCTCTGCACTGTTGGTCATATGGGTTTTTATTTTAAAGCATTTTTAATAGGCATAACTCAGGAAAAATCACTTTTCATTAGTTGCTTGGAAATCACACACTTTTATGTAACTAATCTGTTGGATATTAGTATGTCATCAACAAGAGGCAAATATATATACTAATAGGGATATTTCTGTTATTTTTTTACCTATTAAAAAGACAAATTTCATGAATTAATTTCTATGCTTAAAAAGCCAATTCAATTAGAAATTGAAAACACAAGAATCTTGCAGAGATCAGCTGCCAGATTTATTAATCTACCTGGAAATTTAAAAAAAAAAAAGCATAAAACACAACCAAATGGTAAAATAAAAGAGAACTTAAAAATATCTTAGGTACATTTCCCAAAAGAGTTTATAATGCAATATTTTGAATCCTCCAATATGTAACTGGAAATATATTTAAAGTTGGTCAATTGCTTAATTTAGTTCAGTGAGTCACTACTTTAAACAGC